GATTTGTGGCTTTACCAGCCYGATCTGTTCTTTTATTTTCATTCTTAGTCATTTGTTCTTGTCTTTATGTCTGTATGCTTCTTGAGCTCAGGATTTTTCTTGATTAATGCAGATGATTTTGCTTCATGTTCGTCATCAGTGGGATATTTGCTTTTGTGCTGTAAACTTCTTTAAGTTACTAATAACTTCCTCTTTTCTTAAATTTCATTCTCTTCAAACCATGCTTTCTTATTTCCTTGATTTACATAACAACAATGGATGAGTTTCTAGGCCTCTAACTAGGTACCTTTCYATTTACATGCTATTTGATTTACTGCCATTTAAAAACATTGTTGTATCTATGCAACAYGGTGGGCAACAAAGTGTAGAGTCTTCAAACTACCCAGATTTATGTTGGGAATCAGGATGATTTGGGCCGATKTAGGATGTAAATGCTGCAAGATAAGTATGAAGCCATCTTTGGYGGTTCTGTTCATTGTAAAATCCATTTAACAAGCCCATAAAGAAATTGGTTGAATGCTTAGGAGTCTTAAAACATGTCCTTACAGCTAATTTTTTTTTCTTCCCCTGGTAAGACTTTTTTTCCATGACTTAAGAAAATGTAGGATGAGTTTAAAAGCTAATTTTACAAAATACAAGCACAAACAAATAACAAGCACAATAATAATAGACTCTTTTCTACCATTTTTGTTCCTGAGGAGCCATCAGAACTTGAGATCTTTCAGTAGTGGGGGCAACCGGTATTTGAATGTGTTTCTGTCAGAAGGTGCCAGAAAGTACTTGGGTATTTCAGAAGCACTGGCCAGCATTCTCCAAGCTCCAAAGGGAGGAGAATTCAGAACATACCTGTAGGGGAGGTCTATGTTCTGGATACAGCTCCTCTAAAAATTTCTGGAAGCAGAAATTACATGCAAGCAACTCAACAGTACTTACATGGCAAAGCCCAATGTCCTGTTGCATGAACGGACAGGGGCAGTACGTAGGCTTAGGTTACATTGTAAGGTTACATTGGTGTATGGAGCCCCTAAAACTGATTTTGAGCCTCTTCTGGTATCCAAAATTACAAAAACTATTGGAAAAAAAATTACATTTCAAAATGTACGCTTATTCAAAAGCTGGAGAAAGTGCTAGATGGTCAATTCTGTAAGACTTAGGAAGTCAAGCTTGTTAGTTTACCAAAAAGTGAATTAAAGGGTTTTTTAATATAGTAGAAAGAAGGAGTTACAAAGAAGGAGTTATCAATAAACAAAGAACTCATTGAAGAATCAGTGGCTAAAACTGAAGTCAGAGGAGCTCAATTTTTTTAATAGTAAAGATGATTGAGATTCTGCATTTCTTGACATTATTAAATCATGACTGAAGGCATGCCCCAGTCAGAAGTAGTCAAATGAGTTACTTTGCAATAACAAAAATAAATGAATCAAATTTAAAGACTTTTGTTATAAAGACACTCAAACTGGGTGGATTAATATTCTTTTTGACATTAATTCTTGATTTGTCATATTCTCTAGGTTTAAGAATGGAAAGGCAATTCAGCAACCTCTGCATGACAGTTCTGTAGCTTTCACCATTGCTGAAAGGCCTTTTTAAGCTGGGAAAAGAATATCCAGGCAGGGCATCCTGTAATAGCTCTAGGAAAAAAAAATAACAAAGGCAGATCTCACAGAGTTCTTTTTATCTTCCTCCCATCATGGAAAGTGAGATCACATCATAGATACCAAATTTATACACTACACTGCATAGTATAGCTGACTTTGTTGACATATGCTAAAGGTTTTAAGTAGATTAGTCTGTGTAATATAAAAGTATTCAGTTAAGCACTTCTAAAATAAAATCAGGACAAGCTTTGCTGCACATTCAATTTTAATTTCATATAGCCCTCTTTATAGTTCTGTAGTTCTCAGTTGTGATCTCCATGAGTTGACTGTCATAAATGAGACATTACACATACTGATGTGTGTAATCTTTACTTCCCAGTAAAACTGAGAAGTTTTACTGATTAGTGCAGTGCTGATCCTGTTTTATTTTCACTTACTTGTGGATATTTATACTGTATTGCTCTATAGAAAGAGATGCACATTTTAAACTAAATCTGTGYTTAATTTGAAGCCTTAAAATTGTTTGTTTATCTGCCAGTAGAGTTTATTTTGGATCCAGCAGATCATATTTCAAATGGTAATACAACATGATGCAGATTTTATGTTAACTTGGTGGAGAGGTAACTATTTCCATGCCTGTTAAAATCTTGGTCACAATTACTGGAGACTTTCTGCAATGGTAACTGCAATAAAAAAAAATGTTGAGACCATCAGTAGTATTTTTTTATTATGTATAACAGATACTTCAGAAAATATGAAAAATAGTTTATTCTGGTTTTGCTTTAGAAACACAGTTTAAACTGGTTTTGCAGTTTGAAGAAAAAGAAAAAAYATTTTTTGTAAACTTTGGCTATGTTGGGTATCATATGCCTACAATTCTATATGTAATAAATAACAGAAGTATGAATTACTACGTTACCTATAAATATAGATTTACTGTAGGATAAATATTCCTCAAAAGAAGAGATACTGTTTGCCAGTTTAACCATATACTCGTTGCATTTATATAAAAGAATTTWAAAAGTTTTCTCTTTAAATACCTGTTGCAAAATGTTTATATCATAAAGCAAAGTTAGAATAAATGTCAAGACCACAAACTTCATAAAAGRAGAACTATATTTTCCAGCTACAAGGTATTCTCTGTAGTTTGGCAGTCCTACCCTGTAGATATTTTAAAACCATTCAGACTTTTTGATATGTATGGATAAGCTGATTTCCCTAGGAAAACATTTGAGAAATTGCTACAATAATTTTATTCCGTAGGAAATATTTTAACAAATAGATCTAAAAATTTTCTTAAAKCTGGACACATGCCTCAGTTTCTTCTAAAGTCAAGAATGTAATGGGACACTATTATTAGGACAATATATTATGTTAAAAAATTCCTTTATGTTTAAGCATCTTTCTGTGAGGAAATTCTTTGGACATCTGTAGTTCAAAGAAATAAAAATTAGAAGCTAGTTTGAAGGTACTCACACTTCATTGATTGTCACAACTGCCTTGTCTGATGTAAGTTGCTGATCTGAACCTTCATAAGATATTTTTTTCTCACATTTCTATTGAGCCCATTTTCTCACAATTCTCTACTAGTTTTATGCTGTCTATTGAAGGACATGTTGAATCTAAAGACTTTGGGATTCTGTATTTGTCTGATTGTTTCTGATTTCTTTATGCTTAAGGGATGTGATGCATAACTAAATATGAAGCAAATAGACCCAAGAAAAATATTAGCAAGCATCACTCGGTTTTTCAGTGTTGTCTCTTGCAGTATGATCTGCATGGATTAGCAAGCTGTTTTCCTCAGGGAAGAGTGGATTCAAAGTTCTTTACACTTTCAAAAGGGTCATTTAAAAGAGAGAGGCTGCAGCCCGGCTCGCACCTGGATGTGAGCCCAAGCTTCCTTGGAATTCAAAGGCATTTGGGAGGCAGACGTTGTAATTTGATTAATAGCTGCACTGAACTGTAGCCTACTCACTAGCACCAGCTGACATTGTTCGTGCACTCCCACGTCTCCTGTAGCTCTGGTAGCTCAGATTCCCTCATTTCTGCAATAGCTGGGTTTGTCCTTGATTTGATTAATTTTACATCTATCTTATAGATGCAGAAGAAATTGTTGTTATCATATGTTTTAACTTTCTGCCTAACACAGGGGAAAATCTCTATCTTTTTCTCACTATCACTTACACATCCAGAAATTCATCCTTGTAGTCAAATGTTACACTGTAATCTCAAATTCGCATGTAAGATCCCAAGTCATTTCACATGCCCTCGTTTTGAGGATAGAACTCTTACATTGAGGTATATGCTGTTTTCTTTTGCTGTGTATTTATTATTTTAAAATTGTATGCAAAAGAAAAGATACTGGACCAGATCAAAAGCAATAGTGTAGCTGAAGATCTGACTGCAGTCAGTATGATCAGGAAGGAAGCTCTCTGTGGCAGAGGTTCATCTCTTGCACTCCAGATTTCCTGACTTCTAATTTCCAGAAATGGGAAAAGCTTGAGTACATAATTTCTAGTAGTGAGAAACTATGTGTAGCGAGTGAGGGACTTTGTGGAAAGCCCTATGGGGCCTCATTAGACTACACCGACTAGCTCATCCTTATCCAAGAGTTTGGCAGGTTTTGTAATGCTTCTTTTAGCAAATCTCTGCTGACTCTTTAGGTATATCTTTTTCCAAATACCCCAACTACTAGATGTCTGCTAACTGTTCTTTATTACACTCTACTGATTTGTCAAGCACAGGCATCTAACAGGCCTTGGATCCCCCCAGTAACTTTTCAAAGCTGGCATGACATTTCCAGTACTCAGAATGCAGAGTTGTTTGAAGTCAGAGGATACAGAGCACTTGTTCAACTGTTTTTGCCTTGTTTTTCTGCATAATACCTCCTGGGCGAAYACCATCTACTAATGGTGAATTGTTATTASTCATTCTGTCACTTTTTTTTTTAATAAGCTTTTCTGCATTGACTACAGCTTTTGGACAGATCCCAAATGTCCTTGACAAGGATTCCAGTTTGGACTTTGTTTTCTTCCAGAATGAACATCAATGTGAGGAATGCAGATAGATTCTCTGAAATGTCTTTATGTTCTTTTACTCTTTACAAAACTCTTAAATCAAAACACGGAATTTGTGGTACTTGACTCTGCCTAATTTATCAGTCCATTCACAGCAGGCTGTATTAGTCATCGGTCATCTGCAGTATTTATTTTTTCCTTAGACTTTTTGCTATTTTCAGACTATCATAATTTCATTTCTTATTATGTCTATGTCATTTAATATCATAGATTCAAGAAATACTSTAACGGGATTCTCCTTTAGTAGTAGTCTTATCAGCACTAATAGAAGAGATTAATTTTACATTAAATGTTTTACATATGTTAATGTTTTGTTTTATTTTAGGGAGGTAATCCAACAGCTACTGTAATTGCATTATGTTCAATGAAAGATTTCAATCTGGCTCAAGAAACGTGCCAGCTGGCCATTAGAGATGTCGGAGGTCTTGAAGTGTTAATTAATTTACTTGATACAGAAGAAATTAAATGTCAAGTAAGTGGGTTTGTCAAATAGAGCAGGGATTGTGCTTTTTYTAATTAGAATATTTTCTCAAATTTCAAGATTATGTAGGATAAAGAAAATTGATTTGTTTTCCAAAATAAAGTTTGAAGGATTTTATAGTATAAAAATCAGATTTTTGATTTAAAAGATAAAATGTTTTAGATCATTTTTACAGTTTAAATAATTTTCCTGCTTTTGTATTCTTAAATACTATTTAACGTCTATTGTTTTCCATTATTTAGATTGGTTCTTTAAAAATACTGAAAGAAATCAGTCAGAATTCACTGATCAGACATGCAATTGCAGATCTTGAGGGATTACAGATCATGGTGAAAATACTAGAGTCTCCAGATAAAGACCTAAAATGTTTGGCAGCTGAAACAATTGCTAATGTTGCTAGGTTTAAACGAGCACGACGAACAATAAGGCAATATGGAGGCATCAAGAGGCTGGTAAGAAAATACTAAAATCAATACTCCTTCCAYGTGTATGTTTTCTCATGACAGTAGATGATTTGTTGTGTACCTGACTGTCCAGATAGTGTCTACTATGACTAAAAAGCAGTATAATACCAGGTTTCTCCACATATYATAGAATCATAGAATGCTTAAGGTTGGAAGGGACCTCAGAGGTCATCTAGTCCAACCCCCCTGCTCACACAGGGTCACCTAGAGCAMGTGGCACAGGGCTGCGTCCAAGYGGGTTTTAAAGATCTCCARAGAAGGAGACTCCACAACCTCTCTGGGCAGYCTGTTCCAGGGCTCTGTCGCCCTCACTGTCAAGAAATGCTTCCTTAAGTTCCTGTGGAACTTTTGGTGCCTCAGCTTGTGGCCGTTTCCTCTAGTCCTATCGCTGTCCACCACTGAAAAGAGGCYGCCCCCTCCTCCTCACTGCCTCCCTTGAGGTATTTATAGACACTGATCAGGTSCCCCCTCAGCCTTYTCTTCTCCAGGCTGAACAGGCCCAGCTCCCTCAGCCTTTCCTCACAGGGCAGATGTTCATAATTGAATTGTGTTTTCTTTTGTTAGGTTGGGCTGTTGGAGCCCATTCCAGTGGGCTCATCTGCTCTAACACCAGCCCAGGCGAAAGATTTTGCAATCGCGCGCAGCGGCGCTCTGGCTCTCTGGAGTTGCAGCAAAAGCACCAAAAACAAAGAGGCAATTCTTAAGGCTGGTGGCATTCCATTATTGGCCAAGTGGCTCAAGTGCTCACATGTCAACATCTTAACCCCAGTGGTGGGGACGCTACAAGAATGTGCCTCAGAGGTAAGTAAACACGTACAGCCGACGTGTTTCTAATCATAAAAATAAATGGCCAATAAAAGGAAGTGTTACCTTTGCCTGCCATTTAAAAACAAACCTTGTCTAGGACAGGGACTTTATTACGAAGTTTGGACTCAGAAGTGTAAATGCCAGGGTGTGGCAGAAGATTTTGTAAGAAGGTTACAGTGTATGATAAAATAAAACCCACTTAATTTTTATTCTAAAGCCAAAAGTAGCTCGTGGAAGAAAATATGTRAATTTTTTTTTCATTTTTTGCATGTTTTCTTCCACAGACTACTCTTGGCCTTTAGAAGCTAAAATTTCTGTTGATGTTTTCACCATTCTTGAGAAATTAAATTTGGCAACCTCTGAGATGATTTTCTGTTTGGTTGGTATATTTAAACTGTACAAAGCTAATCTAGTGAGGAGGCGGAGATAAACCAATGCAGCACAAGGTAGATTTCACTGTCCTTGTGAACTGGGAAGACAGAGTGTAATCATTTTTGAAAGGAATGAGTTTTCTCTACAGATTTCTATGACAAKTTTTATAACCTTGAGTATATTCAGTTCTCACATATGAAGACAATTATTTCTAGTGTGGCCAACTGAGATGAGTGGATATTACCCCATTTTTGGAAACATATTTGAAACTCAGACACATTGCACCTAAGCTCAAAAATAGGCATTAATTTTTATGACTGATTTGAGACATGGAAGACGTCATTTTTTTTCAAATGATTTTACATTACAAAACACTTGGTACGTTCAAAAATAATTTCTTAAAACACACAGGCCCCATGAAGACACACACACGAGAAATTTTAATTTTAGTATTCTCTATTGAACAAAGAGGAGGTTCAGTTTTTAAGGGGAAAAGAGAGTCATGTGGCCAGATTTGAACACTTTTTTTTCAAGGAAGATTAAATGAATCTCTTCTTCTAAAGTAATTCCATCTACAATCCTTGTGAGCTAACATTTGGAAGAAAGCATACTGACAAATTTTAATGCTAATAGCGTGTTTTCCTAACCCCATTCTGGGAATAGATCTATTGTTTTGGCTACTGGCTTTCGGTGAAATGAAGAGATGCCTATTGACCTCTTCAGGAGCATCTCTTCCTTCTCTGATTCTGAACATGGAAACACTGTTTTATACATTTTGAAAAAATTACGTTTTATTTATTGTATACTGTGCAGAAGGTAAAGAAACACATGAGCACCTGAGCCCCTTTCAGAGTGGCCAGTGAGGTTCATACAAAGTGAGYGCTGCAGCACCTGCTTGTACTGCCAATAGTAACATCACAGCCCTGCAGAGATTTTATGCCTGTGATGGAAAACATCACATGTGGTATATTCCAGGCAACCYAGACTACTTTTGCTTAAAATTAAGTACAGGGCTCCACAAAATCACAGCTTAAAATTATAGGACTTCACTCTTACTGTGACTGGTGTTATTAACTACTAGAACGGAGGAGTTAAAATGGGTTTTATCTTTCAGCAAAGTTACAGACGTGCAATAAGGATGGAAGGAATGATTGAAGATCTTGTGAAAAATCTAAGTAGTGAACATGAAGAGCTACAGATGCTTTGTGCAAGTGCCATATTTAAGGTAATTTTATTATTTCAATTTGTAGATCAGAGGGAGGGATTAGCACTTGATTTTCATATCATTGTCACCTTAATATTAACATTTCTCAGTTTTATTATTTCTCTAAGGTGTGAGAAATTATTTTGCAGAAAACGTTGATAGTTTGTGGCTGAATTTTTATGAGTGTGTTTTAGCTGTAYGTTTAATATTGCAGTTCAGATCCTAGTTGAATTAGTCTCTTGCATGCAGGTCCTAAATTGCACAGGTAACCAGTGGAGAGGGGTGGGATATGCAGTGCAAAGAGATGCAGAAAATATTTTCTGTTTATTTGTGCACAAGGGGAAAAATATAAATGTTGTAACATGAAGTAGCTCATTATAGTCAGCAATCTCTTAGTGAGTGGCTAGCATTTTCAGGTATTTAATAAGCAGAGTTTGTTCTGTGTTAGTTTTCAATAGTTGCAACATAGTACATCTAGCTTTTAAAGACAGTCTCTTTTACATTTTCAGTAATGCATGTATTTAACTTGTTGCATAGTGTGCAGAAGATAAAGAAACTCGTGACCTGGTTAGACAGCATGGAGGCCTGCAACCACTCTCTGTTTTGCTCGGTAACACTGAAAATAAGCAACTTCTGGCAGCTGTGACAGGAGCAATCTGGAAATGTGCAATCAGTGGAGAAAATGTGTCAAAGTAATCATTTAATTTTGCAAATATTTTTTATGTTATTATGTTTTGAATTTACAGGTGTATTTTTTTTTCTTTTTGGCCCTGATTCTGCAAAGCCATACCTTATAATCACCTGTGCCTTCAACTTAGATGCTGCAGTACCTAAAGACTGCCACCTGACCTCATCAGGGTACAGTGGAGACTGTTAAGTTTCTAGAATCTTAAGAGTCAAGAGCGAGAACCGGTGCCTGCAAAGAATAATTGAGATATAGGACATGGAGCCAGGGAGGGTACTCGCACATAGAAAATATTTGACTTGAATCCATATCCAATATCCCCCTTTGTTGTCTGCAGCTTAGAAATCTGAATCATGGCTCCAGGTATTCTCCAGAGAGAACACCTAACTTTAGTATTGTAGATACATATTTAAGTACTCTTTATGGTCATTTGATAGAGCAGATTGTCTCATTCTGGAGTAGATAGCTAAATTATGTTAGGTCCACCTAATTTAGTAATATAGTGGAGCTTGGATAAGTAACATCTGGAGAAACCTCTCAGCTGCATAACCTAGTCTGGACACAGCTTCTAAATGAGTGACTTCGACTATAGGCTGGTACTAGAGCCTGGAGTCATTGAGGATGTGACAGAGGGAGTTAAGTGTCCACCTTTCATGGAGTAACTTAACAGTTAAGAATAGTAGGCTCCCTCTGTTCAAATTTGTTCATCATTTATGTGCCCTGTCTCAAGAAAATGTTAAAATCTAGCATCACTGTGGTAGATTCCTGCTAAAGCTAAGCAGTTGGGTACAGAGGAGTGCAAGATTCATTGCCTGGAAGGAAAACTAGTAAGAGTAAACCCCTCCTGCAGCCCTGATTTTGATATGCATTGCTGGACATGCTGATATGTTAGGTAAAAAGCCCAATACCAGGGTTTTGAGTACAGCTTTTTGCTCTGCTAAATGAATTCCCCAAGTATTGGTATACAGAGCTCTGGTCTTTGCATATTCTGCTCTGCATTCTTGGCTGCACAGTAACTTCAGAAGCACCGTGAGCTTTGGTGTCTGCACAGAGGCCTTCTCCTTCTGGAGCAATCTGTGGGGAGGTGAGTGAATGGCTCTGGCCTATACCTGTAAGCTAGACAAGGCCAAAGCTTGGGTTCAGGCGCTATGTCCTGATCATCCCCATGTTTAAGGGTTAGCGCAGTTCCTCATACAGTTTGGCCAGCAGCCCCCCAGACAGTGCCCAGACACTGCTTGGGAACAGCACAAGGCAGCAGCTTGTTCCCATTAGACAGAAAGGGTGAGGCCACCCTGCATTGTGAGGATAAGAGATTTTAGCCATATGGATGCTATGTTGTGCCTCTTGTCCTCAGGGCTACAGAACGAGCCCTCGTCTGCTTTATTTATTAGTACAGCTCTAGCCAATAATTCTGGCCAAGTGCAAACAGATTTTTCCTGGGCTATTCAGATATCTTTGGCAAGTGCTTGAAGCTCCACGAAGGTTACTAGCCAGGCGCAGCTCCAGCCTTCCGCTGGATTCACGTATATTCTGGTGCTGAGGCTGGAGCAGTAAACCCTGTCCAAACGCAGGGTGGGAGGACACTACAGAAAGGAGAGAGGGGCTAAAACAGAAACACAAATGTAAATCTGGAGAGACAAGCTTGAATCTGGCATAGGGCTAGAACTAACAAACTGCTGGTTTCTCGGAGCTACTTACTCATCTTCAAACTATTGTGCAGTGCTCCCCATACCAGGAGCAGATTGCTGGGCTGCAGCAGGGAGCTGACGTAGGTGCCGGGGCTCCTACCTCCTAGCCCAGCTTCCACGTGAGTGCAAGCAGCCCTACTGCTTCTGGACACAAGATGGCCCAAGCCAGCAGCTCAGTCTGAGAGCAACCGGCCTGTCGCAGAGCCAGCCCATGTTATTCCATCTGGGAAACTTCTGATCGGCAACTCAGATCAAGTTCTCCCAAGAAAATCAACATTTTTTATTGATACTTTGGAAATGCCATTGTTAATATTTTCTTCTGTGCTGTTAACATTTTGTCTTGAATGAAATTTAGAGGCTCTTCCAAATTGCAAGGAACAGGGGAAGATGGTTTTTGCAAGGCAAAAGGTTGAATTATGAAAAATGAAGGTTTCTTCTTTCTTGTATTAATTGTACTGCAATTCTAATGAATCAACTTGGAAAGATTAACTTTTATCAAAATGTTTTTAATTTGGCTATCTAAACTTCATATAGATAGATAGATAGATAGATAGATAGATAATTCTGTGAAAGAAAAATCACCGGTACAGCTGATTCCTGAAAAATTCAGAATACATAGCTCATGTTCACACTAACAGAGGTTATGGGCCATGAGGGAAGCACAAGTAAGAACCCTACCCTCAGAGAACTGATCTCATTATGGGAGAAAATGTATGTATTTACACAAATGTGTAAGTCAAAGCATAGTTATTAGATAAATACAGTTTGATATCCCAAGCCAAATTGTCATGGTGCATCACAGAGAATATACTAGAGGGAAGCAGAGTATGTTAAGTCATGTTAAGTCTTAAGAAACCTCTGAGTTCTGAACAAAACGTGAAGATGACCTTAGTACTGAGGACTGAAGTCCTGATCTGAGAGATGAACCTTGGAGGTTTAGCATGAGTGTGTTTGTAGGATGAGACCTGCAGAAGGAAACAGACTTCTTAGAGTTTTAAGATAGTTTTCTTGATTTTTCAGTATCAAAAGTGCTGTGAAGAGTAAGGGCAGTATTAGTGTTGCAGTTGACTCAAGTTGCACACGTTCCACTTTTGTCAACTTTTTCCCTCATTTCAAAATGGAATGGCACTTAATGCAACAGGAATTTACAAAAACTATCCATATGACCTTAAGAAAATGCAAATATTAGGTCTTAGCTAGGTACAGAGGTTGTGAGCACAAACCCACTAAAGGCTGACTTTCAGTGAAAAGTAAGAATGATCCTTTGGCTTTTCCTGCAGGAAAAGCAGTGGAAATTACAATGCCACTGTATTTGCCAGTCTTCCAGTKCATTTTCAGCTTTTATTTTATTGCATCCACATGTTAAGTTTTAAGCAACCTTCAAACTACTCCTCAGATTCCTAGAAAAATACCTATTTTTAGAAAAGAATAAGAAATTATTCTGTACATAGCACTTGCAAGAAGTGATTGGGAGGGTTCATGTGTATTGTAATTTCTTTAACAGGTTAATTTGCTTACAAAATTAAGCATCACAACAGTAACATATGGAAAATAATGTCTTTCCTTTTATTGCTGTCACTTAGACTTCAGGAATATAAAACCTTAGAAGCTTTAGTAGGACTGCTCACTGATCAGCCTGATGAAGTCCTTGTAAATGTTGTTGGAGCATTGGGAGAATGTTGCCAAGAGCAAATAAATCGAACTATTATCCGCAAATGCGGTGGAATCCCACCTCTGGTGAAGCTGCTCACTGGAACCGATCAGGCACTCCTTGTGAATGTCACCAAAGCAGTGGGAGCTTGTGCAACAGAACCTGAAAATATGATGTAAGTTGCATGTATGTGTATGATGTAAGAAAATATATGTAATAACTACATTTGAAATATTGCAAGAAAATAATCTGAGTAATTCCAGCTGATGATTTTGGTGGATCAACATTTAAAGTTCTAAGGTAAAGATAGTTTCTTACAAAAAAAAAAAAGTAAGTAGCTATATTTGCCATATCAGATATGGCATTGAATTCACAAATTAGTTACTCTGTGTAATAGGGATGTTTGAAAAGCCCTGTCATATTGGTACTATTTTAGTTCAGGCTTTTGATGGATTATGTACCATTTAGTATAAAAACATCTGAATTAATAATGGACTTTATTTCCTATTAAACATAGTAATAGGTTTTACTTTCATCAGTGCTAATGTGAGTTTAATAGATATTTTGTTTTCGACAAGCTGTGTAGGTTAGTTATGTCCTATTGCATAATGTGCTAAATGGCAACAGAAATATTTAATTAATATAKAGAACACAACAGCTAGGCGTTTTTTGGAAAAACAGGTAAGCCTGTAATAAATTGATTTTTATTAAAACTAAGATTCAAAATTACAGAGCACCATTTTAAAGTACTGTATGATGATAATCTGTTTTTCCTTTTCTTCCTTTTACTATTCTCAAGTCATAGATAATTGTGTAAATTAAGGAAATAATTCCAAAAGAAATATATGTGTTTACTCTCATGAACAATCTTTTGAAAGCTTTTAAAATTAGAATATGGTTTGTATTTTGACTTTTTTGTCTTGGTTATTTTATAAACTCAGACTTTTTCTTTTTGACTCTTTTTTCCTGTTCTATTCCTTCAAAAACAGGAGAAGAAAAAGGCTGTCTTTTACTGGGAGAGCTGTTGCTCTCTCTAGTTTTGTGATGTAGATTTGCGTGACTGACAGAAAAACTTTGAATTTCATGATTAAGTGTTCCAGTAAAATATTCAGGTCGGCATTTACTGTGCTTGCTGTTCCTTTACAGGGATATTTACCTCAAGATTTTGGGCATGTTTCCCTCCTTATATGTAAGGAAGGTCAGAAAGAGAGAATTTTATTAAGCTCCTCCTGTTCTGATTTGCATAATTCGCTTGATATTCATATAGCAGTGCAGGGAATTCTTTGCCTGAATAGGGCTTTTGTTCCCATGCTTTGGCTGTCACCCAGTGGCAAAAGGCTAGATGCTGCACAACGGTAAACATGGTTTATAGGAACAGTTAGCCATGTAGCATGAATGTATATACAAATGAAATCACTTTCACTATGTATTTCAAATGAAGAATATTAAACATAAGCCTTTGCTCTACTCTGCTAACCTAAGACAAATAATGTCATAATCAACGGAGGAATGTRAATGCCAATAAATAGAAAATGACATGTATAAAACCTCAGACATACTGCAGCCCGCAGCACTATCACTTGTAATACCCAGTATGGAGAGCTTCATGCTGGAATGTGGTCGGTATAAGCCCCAAAAATAACACAAGTCGCTGCTAAAATTGTAAGCAAACAGAGTCCATCTTGTTTTTAGGAGGGAGAAAACATAGGTTGTTTGGGAGGAAATTCTAAGGAGTTTGCCAAGAGTGGACGAAGGAAGCAAATCTCAAATTAGGTTCATATGGAAAAATTCTCTGTTGAAGGTTTGCAATATTTAGAAAAAGTAGGTAGGCTAGATTTTATTCCAGGAATATAATGTACTTTTAGTGACTATATAAAAGACATTACAGATAAATTATTATTCATAGGAAGAGCAAGACACTTGAAGCAATGTGTCAGTGTTCAATCAAGTTTAGAGCTGTAGCCCTAGAAGAAAGCATGGTGTAGTCTTTTGCCAAGGCATGATCCAGGCAGGTAGGAAGAATTTTAGTCCTGACCAGCAAACTGTTTAAAGAATGCTTAGCTTGAACCTTGATCTCAATGGAACTGCTCACTTGTTTAAATSATTTGCTTGGTTGGGTGTTCTGCATCTTGCAGGGTTAATCTTTCACACAACAAACAAACAAACACCCAGGCCACCCATTCATCTTCCTTCTCTTTATGTTCAGACCAGTATAGCAGGAGCTGAAACTATAGTGCCTCATCCAATTTTATTAAGTCAGTCACCAAAGAAATGAGGGACAATCTTGTTTTGTGCCAAATACAGAATTTGGGACTAAAACAATGTATAGTCTTGTTTAAAAGTACTGAGGGGGCTCATGCTCTTTCTGTAAACTTTTTCTGAAGCTTCTAACCAAAAATATTAGGTGAACCCATATTTTGTGTGGAAAGTATTCCATATTCTCTCCCCAGCATTCTCTACAATGGGGGAGCCCCCAAGGGACATTGTTCACAGTAACTATGGTTTTAGTTGGTTCTAGCACTGGTTTTCCACTGCACAGCTATGTGGTTTGACCACATCCCAARCATACAATGACTTGATTGTTTCTCCACCATTGCTTGTCCTGGTGTAACTTAGAGCAGTTTTACGGCTGCTATCCTGGGACCTGATGACTTGTTTGGCACAACAGCTCCATAGCAAAGTCTGCAGTCAAATACAGTTGATTAATCAGGATTCAGCTACCCAGACAAAATC